ATAGGACTTTATGTGCTTTTAGATTTGGGGTCTGTGGGTTGTTTTTTATCTTTTGATAACCTAGAAAATTCACTTAAAATTTGAACATCTTACAAATTACAAAATTTACCTACACACAAACTATATGTTACATTTTTTTAGTGCATGAAAGCATTATTTGGTGAAATGCAAGAACTTCAAGATTTATGATACGCTATAATTGCAATGTACTTCACCGACTTTGCGAACTTTTGGTACTTTAAATTTTTTTTACATTTATGACTAACTACAACAATAAATAACTAGTGCTAATTGTAACGGAAACCGTTACAGATGTTCCCCAAACGCTCCCCAACTTCCTTTTGGTGCCACATTCCCTGTAAGCTCCATTAAATAAGACAAACTGTATGCATTTGAGGCTTTAACAACATTTGCCCAGAAATTACCAAGTTCATTGAAATTCTAGCATTGCACGGGTGCGCATGTGAATGCATGTGCTTAATGACCATATCATCTTGTCTAAACAATCTTTATATTTTAATATACTAAATATTAAACTAATTAATTCAAAAGTATTAAAAAAATACGCTTATTAAACTGTATTCTTGATTTTACTCATTTCACGTGCAAGCACGTACATACATGAGCATGATGACCATACCTTGTTGTAAAAGTCCATTACATCTATCTATGTTTTAAATCCCACCCCGTTTGGTTGAAAACCAAGGAAGATATAGCTGTTTAAAGTTTCAGCCAATCAGATTGCAGTCCACGTACATGCACGTGTATGCATGTGCATGGTGACCATACCATCTTGTAGAAGTCTATAATATCTATCTATGTTTCAAATCCCATCCTGTTTGGTTGAAAACCAAGGGAGTTATAGCTATTTAAAGCATAAGCCAATCAGATTGCAGCGCACGTGCATGCACGCGTTTTCATGATATTGCTATATATCTTTTTGTAGGATATCCTAATACATGCCTATGTTTAAAATTTCAAAGGATTTCGTAAAAAAACAAGAAAGATATTGAGACTTTAGTTTTAGCCAATCAGAGCGAAGCGCACGTGCATGCGCGTAAGATCTTGCTTTTTTGACCATGTCATCTTGTCTATGCTTCTAATATATACTTATAATATGAGTTTTAAAGCATTTCATCAATAATTTAAATAGTTACGTCTGTATCAATTATATTAGTCATTCCTCGTGTTGCACGTGCGAGCTCTTGCAAGCACACGTGCATGCACATGCTTTCATGACAATTCTTATATAACAGGCTGTAGATCTCCCTAATGTATGACTATGTTCAAAATTTCAAATGATTTTATCAAAAAACAAGAAAGATATTGAGACTTTAGTTTCAGCCAATCAGAGCGAAGCGCACGTGCATGCGCGTGCAATCTTGCTATTTTGACCATGTCATCTTGTGCATACTACTCATATATCCTTACATTATGAGTTTCAAAACATTTCATCACAAAATAGAAAAGTTACGGTTATATCCATTATAAATTGGTCATTTCAAGTTTTGCACGTGCGCGCAAAATGACCTTGATTCCGCAAATCTACATAACATGCCTACTTACCCTAAAAAGGTTTCACATAAGTCGGATGTGTAGTTTACAAGATCACTCGCGGACAAGATTTTCCCAGGAAGAAAAATAATAAGAATAATAATAACTAGTGCTAATTGTAACGGGAACCGTTACAGATGTTCCCCAAACGCTCCCCAACTCCCTTTTGGTGCCATATTCCCTGTAAGCTTCATTAAATAAGACAAACTCTGTGCATTTTTGACTTTAACAACGTTTTCCCAAAAGGATACCAATTACATTCATATTTTAGCATTGCACCCAAGCGCATGTACGTGAATGCATGTGCGTTATGACCATATCATCTTGTCTACACTATCTATATATTTTAATATACTATATATTAAAGCATTCAGTCCAAAAGAAATAAAAATCACTCATTCAAGTGTATTTTTAATATACTCGTTCTAAATGCACGCATGTGCGTGCACGTGCATGATGACCATACCTTCTTGTAGGAGTCCTTTACATCTATCTCTGTTTTAAATCCCATCCGGTTTGGTTGAAAAACAAGAGAGTTATAGCCATTTGAAGTTTCAGCCAATCAGCTTGCAGCACACGTGCATACGTGTGATTTCATGAATATTTTTCTATACCATATTGTAGGTTATCCTAATGCATGACTATATTTTAAATTTCAAAGAATTTTGTCAAAAAACAAAGGATATATAGCCATTTAAAGTTTCAGCCAATCAGATTACAGCACGCGCACATGCGCATGTTTTCATGAAAATTCTTTTATATCATGCTGTAGATATTCATAATGTAGGACTATGTTCAAAATTTCAAAGGATTATGACAAGAAACAAGAAAGATATTGAGACTTTAGTTTCAGCCAATCAGAGCGAAGCGCACGTGCATGCGCGTGAGATCTTGCTATTTTGACCATGCTATCTTGTCTATACTTCTAATGTATCCTTACATTATGAGTTTCAAAAAATTTCATCAAAAAATAGAAAAGTTACTGCAATATCCATTATACTGGTCATTTCACTTGTTGCACGTGCACGCTCTTGCAAGCACGTGCGCGCAAAATGACCTTGATTCCGCAAATCTACATAACATGTCTACTGACCCTAAAAAGGTTTTACCTACATCGGACGAACAGTTTACAAGATCACTCCCGGACAAAAAAGTACCCAGGAAGAAGAAGAAGAAAAATAATAATAATAAGAAACAGAGTAAAAACAATATGTTCCCCAACTTCGTTTGGGGAACATAATAAGAAACAGAGTAAAAACAATATGTTCCCCAACTTCGTTTGGGGAACATAATAAAAAAGTAAGACATACCGCGTTTCGACATATCGTCCGTTATATCACCTAGACATGTACTTTCTCGAATTGTTATATAGGCATTTGTGCGTGCAAACACCTTAAATCAAAATATTATTACCAGATCTTGTGCACATACATGTATTGTAAATGTACAACCCACAAGTGAGTAGGAGCGATAACTCTGGATAGAGATTGTGGTCCGGATATTGCACAAGTATTGAAGAAAGCTCCGCAACCTGCTGCCAGGACATCATGTGGGAATCACCAAGTATCTCCACTGATCACTTTTTGTTGCATAGGCGTCGGAATCGGGGGGGGCTTAGCCCCCCCACTTTTTTTCCAAATATATACGTAGTATAGACATTGAACATATCTTCGTAGGTTTTAGCCCCCCCCCCCCCCCCACTTTCCACAGATACGTCTTAGTATAGGTTAACAATGGGGAAAGTGGTGGTGTTGGAAGAAAATTTTGGTACTGGAGTTCGAACCCCCCCCCCCCCCCCCCCCCCCCCCTACGAAATAGGATTTTTGTGTTTGGGAAATAGACATTTCCTTTTTTTTTTTTGCTTGTTGGGTTTTTTTGAAGGTACAAGAAATTTCAAGAAATTTCTTTTTACACTTAGCCCCCCCCCCCCCCCCACTTTCAATTTGCTTCCGACGCCAATGTGTTGGGCTCATAAAGAAAAAAATTGATATATTTTATAATAATTAATAATAACCCCTCTCATCCGGGAAATAGGATGTTCGATTTGGAATTTGAACGAATATCCTTTTTTATTTTTGCTTGTCAAGTTTTTTTTTTCCAGGTTTGATTATTTTCTGTCTTCCAATTATCCCCCCCCCCCACCCCCTTTTTCAATTTGCTTCCGAAGCCGATGTTAAATAAACAGAATTATCAATCTATAGACATTATCAATTAGTTGTAAAACTTGATAAAATAACGTATAACTTGTTAAAAAGTTCAAATAACTGTTACACATTATAAACAAGCATATATTTAAACACCAGTGAAACTTTAGTGTTAAAAATTCAGTACCCCACCCATTACTTAATAGAGTTATCACAGTATTCAAATTCTTTTACTAGACCATTTTTTTGTACTAAGTAAAGCGCCATTATCACTTGCGCATTGTGTTTATGTCCTCCAGGAGGTGAGTTGATAAGCAAGAGCTACCGTAGGAACAATTTTTAAATCGAGTCAGCCTATTGACAAACAAGTTGATGAGAGAAGGAAATCAACAGCCTCGTTTAAATTCTATAGTCGATTCAATTTTAATGATCGACATTGTCAACAAATACAGTCTATCAATATTAATAAGTCACAGGTTGACTGGCGTTTTTTCATACAAAGTGTTTGGCTATCGTTCACACTATGCATTGTCTATTAATTTTGACAACATCTGTTTTTCCGATCTTGACCAGTAATACGCGAAAGTTTGTGTGGATTTTCAGATTTTAAACAAAGAACTACAGTAACTTTAGTTTTAGAACAACAAGAAAGCTTATTAGAACGTCAATTTTAGCATAATATATTTACATTCTAATATGACGCATTGGGGTGGGTGGGGTGGGGGGTTAGTTGAGATATAGATTGTATATATAACCCTTTATCATTATATTTTTATTTACCGGTTGGGGACCGTAGCAAGCTAGCAACCATCTTATGTTTGACTGACACACTTTTGCAAAGAATTAATATTTTTTTGATAAGTTATCCTTATCTGTCTTCAAAATTTTCAAAATAAAAAAGTTACTTTTTTTTATTTTGGGTGGTGGTGGTGCAGTGGTGGTGGAGAATAGGGGGGGGGGGGGGGTCCACATCACAAGCATCAGGTTCTTGAAGTCACCTTTTTTAATCAGTATAAATGATGATGACATTATTAATGTACTAGTTAACAGTATTATAAATATAGAATATTCCTAAAACACACCAAGAAAGGGCCATTCATGTATATTCTTTAAAATTTCATTCGTATGTTTTTAAAATATTCTCAAATGTTGTGTTTCATTTTCTGAATATCTTTGATTTTTTAATTAATTTCAAGGAATTATTTAATCCGGATATATTTTCACGTTCGTTACCAATTCTCGCTTTTATTGTCTTGATGTTATTTCCGATACTGGTTTTATCGGCAAGAAGAAATTTCCAGAATTGAGGAGAAAAATTATTTGAGTTATCGTTAAGTTTTCAAAATGACTGAGCTTATCCACTGCTACAACAAAGGGTGTGGTCAAAAGTTTGATCCAACTAGCAACGAAGACGGTAGGCTAATCAGTAAACCGTTTTTTACAAATCGTTGTTTGTGAATCATGCTTTGTCGGTGGAGTCAAAACATTAGATACAGTGGGGATGGTTTGCGTACTTTTCAGTTTTGAGATTTTTATAACATTAGTTAACTTTTTGTAGAGGACCATAAGGTCATCTGTTAGTATTAATTTAGAAAATAATCTAGTTTTAAGTTAATCTTGTAAATGTCATGGAAACGTGAAAACAAAACTACAAAACCATAGGAACTAGTTAGAATAATCTAGTAAGACAAGCACAGGCACTTGTTTCGTATACGGGGTACCCCCTACCTATATTTACCACAAGGTACGGTCTAACTCATTTTCGGGCACCCCCACTTCAAGCTCGTATTTACTAATAAATCAATTGTATACCTACATTATCTTGACATAGTTCGCTCCAAGAGATATTTTTCTATATTGCTGACGTCTCCTATAAAGATCTTTTGTTGTAAAATGCTTATTTATTCATCGATAATCAGCTGGAATCATACTAAGACAAACTATAAGCTACATTCACTTCCTGTTTGGCGGTTACGGACAAAATATTTTTTATGAAATTAAAATATTCTGCAAGTGAAAAATAATTGGTAACATTTTTATAGATAATATATTTTTTAGGTACTAATTATACTTTAGCCTTATCCAGAATCTCCTGTTGCGATTTTGTCAATGCCATAACTTTACTTTCACTTTTGCATTGCTTAACTTAGCAGAGTCATTATCAAAAACCGCAGAAAAAAATATTGGAAAAAATCAACAAATTTTTGCATTTAGAATTAAATTTTTTTAATCGTTACTATAAAACACATATCTGAAGAACACAAAAACACTAAACTCCCACCTGGAAATTATTTGATTTCAGAGTAAGAAGAAATCAAAATACTGGTTCACCTAAAATTTTGTCCTTCCTGTTACAGACACAATAATGCAAGTTTTACTATTAAGAGGTGGAAAAATAATTATAAAATTAGTTAAGCCCAGTTTGTGAAAGCATGACAAATAAAGAATCAGTTATAATTTTTCAATGAAACAGGAGCAAAATAATTTTTTCAATGATTTTAGAGACAATTTTCAAATCTGAACATCATTTTGGTCAATATTTTCACCATTTTACAGTCGTAAAAGTTAGTATAAAAAACAACATTCACACATTTGATAAGAAATGGCATTATATGCATGCATGTAGATCCAATCTTGTTACAATCACATATAAACCACATATTTTCATAATTAAAGTGCATGTAACAGGAAAGACGGGCCCGTAACAGGAAAGACAGTACTTTGCAATAGACATGTCTCTCCTGTAACAGAATCCTAAATTCTAGCTTAGAAATGATTGGAAAGTAAATATTTAATCAGTTTCAGTGTGAAATCTGTTAATATATTATAAAGATATAGAGTAACTAAAGCAATTCCAGAAAAATATGACTTTGAAAGGTTTTTTGGTCTCTCAGTTAAAAAGTGTAACAGGAAAGAACAGAACATGCAACAGGAGAGTAATTTCTGTGTATCTACATCAAATTCTTCATTTTGTTAAACACATAATTTAATTAATCCTGAAAATTTACGCTGGTGTTCCCAAATAATGATTAAACTTTACGTTAAAGTTAAGATAGGAACAAATAGAGTATAAAAATAATGAATATGTCTGACTGTTACAGGAGAGACTTTTTCAAAATACACAGTATTGTAATAGTACAAAACAATGTTACATGTTAATTAGATATAACATAGAATAATTGCTGACTTACAAGTAAAATGTAAAACAAAATGGGATTTACATTAAGAAAATTGCTTGCCTACGCAAATATTGGCGTGTACAACGTAAAGGAAGGACACTGAAAGACACTAGAGTCTGAAAAAAATATTTAACGTCCATTTAAAAGAAAAACATGGATTTGGAGAGCCATCCTCCTTTTGCCTGTATAATTTTCTTTTACCTTTCTTTAGAAGAAAACTTTCTTTTTTCACTGTTTTTCTAAATATAGAAATATAAAATATTACCTGGTAGTTCAAAAAAGTGTATGTTTCTGGCAAGTTTTTTTATTAACTTGAGAATTTTCCACTGCAATTTGGAAATGGGTCCCAGCTAGGTCATTAAAATTGGGAATTTAATTTCATTTCATCACTGACTGGGAAATTATATCACATGGCAATTTTCAACAAAACAAAACAAAAACAAACAAACAAACAAAAAGAAAAAAAAAAGAAACACTCATGATGTTTAGTATAGCTTATTTGAGCCATATGCTCAGATGAGCTTTTTTGATTGAGATTTGTGTTTTGTTTGTTGGTGTTAACTTAATTGTTATTGTTTTCTTAAACTTCTCACATTTTTTTTATCTTGGTCATTTTAACTATATTTAGCACAGAATATCTTATGAAAAGGAAATTTAAATTGTTCAAATGAAGGGTCACACCCTTTTCCAATAGATAATTAAGAAAGAATGAAATTCTTTGACAGGTCATTTAAAAAAGACCAGAAAAGATAAAATTTAAATATAAAGCTCATGACATAGTGTAGATTAAATTTTGTTTAAATCATGAACCCTTAGGGTAGGGTATGGCATTATGAATGATCAAAATATTACTGGCGTAAGTTGGGACACATATCAACAAATCTCTTTTCAGGAACAGCAAACCCTTGATAGGGACGTTAAACAGTATATAATCAATCAATCAGTCAAATCTAAATAAAGGCATTTATACTTAGTGTATTCTAATTTGTTCAAATCATGATCACTGGTGTAGGATTTGGCATCTATTGGTTGATTAAGAGTTATATTGGGGGTACAAATAATTATGAAAAATCTTTAAAAATCTTCTCATTACATGTAGCAAAGCCATATAAATCAGTAAATAATAGATAAACCATACAATTTTGACTGTTTTGTGGTGTATTGTAAATTATACCATGGTTTGGGTTTCACAACCCTGGGTTTAACCTCACGAGAAGAATGACCCGCAGGAATTGGGCCTAAATTCCAACCTAAACAGGGCAGTAACAAATCCCTTAAGCTGGGTGAAACTTTTTTTTTTAGAGATGGAAAAATATATACTGCCTATAGCTGAGAAACATAATTTATTGTGTCCTTCCTGTTACACTGAATTAATAAATAAGAAATCATATATTGAATTTATATTATGGGTAAAGGGGCTAAAGAATGATTTTTAATATGAATTTTTTTCCATCAAAGACTATTCAACAATTATACTGTGCTTATAAGAAAAAAGTTCTCAAAAATTGTTTATCTTATAGCAATACCCGTCTTTCCTGTTACAGAATCATATTTAGAATTCCTTTAATATCAAAAATTATCTTTTCATAGTTGAAAAAAGAATAAAAAATAAAATAATACAAAATAATAAAATGAAAATAATATTAAATCTGACAAATTAATAAAAGTCCACATTTTTTTCTGATTTAAGCAAAATTTGTCCGTACTGTTACAATATGTTATGTCTTTCCTGTTACAAAATCACTTTTTATGTTTCAACTAACAATTAGAAACAATGAATCCTTACTCAAGGTGTATTTGTGTTACTTACTTTAATTCTAATAAAAATCATGCAATAAATATCTTGGTTAATGATGAGATAGGTCTAAAATCCACATTTTATTTAATATTAGTCTTTCCTGTTACAAAAATTGTCTTTACTGTTACAAATTAACACGTAACAGGATGGACATATAACAGGGTAGACAATTGCTCTATATTTGGTCATTTATTTTCCTTATTGCTTACCATACAAGCTGATGATGCAGCAGGTTTGAAACAAAATGTTTAAGTTATTTTGTAAAAGAAGTTAAAATTGTTTCACTCCATTGTTAAAGCTTTATTTCAATGTAACAGTACGGACGTCATTTTTTTCTACTGCGTAAATCGTAGTTATATTTTGGACATTTTATTCAAACTTATCAAATTTTAAAAAATTACATTAACAACCTAGTATAATGCAAATGAAACCAAGGCTAATGGTAAGTATGGAACCTAGAAAAGTTAATTCTAAATATTTCTATTTTCTTGATTTTCATTGGCGTAACAGGAGAGACAAAAACTCGTGGGACACACCTTTTAGTCTTCATATTTTCAAGATGAGCTTATTTAAGACAATTTTAGTGTTTTTATAGGATTTATTATGAATAGTTTAAGGCATACAAGGAAAAAAATGAAAAGAAAATGAACAACATATGCCATAAAACACTTGTTAATTCAATGGAAAGGAGTGTAGGACATCACAAAATATGCTAATTTGAGCTATTATCAATGCATTTTTTCTTTAAATATATCACACACCTATAAAATTAATATTCTGCCAACTACAGAATAATGTATTCTAAATAGTGATGTGAAAATTTATATAATTTTTACTTCATATACTTTTTTATCGGCCTGTGACCAAAATATTGGCGAATTTTGATAATGACTCAGCAACCAATGAAATCACTGTATAAAATTTAGACCTCAATTACCGGAAGTGAGTGTAGCTTATAGTTTGTCTTAATATGATTCCAGCTGTGAAGACACATAATCACGATGGTTTTAATTTCATTATGTCGCGATTCGTCTTTTTTCCGCGAAATTAAACCCATCCTGAATGCTATCATTTGTTTTTAAAAATGTTAAAATGCGTATACGAAATTAGAATTAAGTTTGTGATGCGTGAAATTAAACCCATCACGATTGGTACTTTTTAAGAAATCGTAATATTTAAATACCGCGGAATTAAAACGACTTACAGTATTCAGAGTAGGGCAATTTCAGGCTAATAATAATCAAAATGTTCTTTTAGGACACTTGTCAAAGACAGAAAACGAAAGTAACCATAGATTTTATATTCTAACATAATTCATGAATATCTCAACATTTTCTACGTGCTTCATTGTTCTAATGTATTCAATTGAAATTCAGAATTGTACACAATATACATCTAGATCAAAATTATATGCTTTTGTTTATTTTGCATCATTGGATTCACTGCCCTTTAATACCAGGTCCATAGAACATTAACATTTTAATGATAGAACAATCTATTTATATTTGAATTAAATACTTTAATTTACAGGATATATGTCGATACTATTTTTTATTTGAGATCCTGGGGGTTTTCAAAATCCTTGGAAAATCCTTTCTTAAAATTTCAGTGATTATAGCATGTAAATTTATTCAGCGGCCTTCTTTTAGAGTTGTAAATTTTGCTCCTATGCTTCTGTTAAAACAAAGTTATAAACTTTAATTTGCTATAAATCTTGTACATGAAACACAATAATTTTTTGCTATTGTGGGTTCATCAATTTTCGTTGAGCACAAATTTTTGAGGATTTCGTTGTTAGCAGATCCACAAATTTAAATGTTCATTGAATTAAGAAATTTTGTATTCATATGTACAGGCAATGCATTTGTCTACGAAATTACATATCCTCGAAAACGTCTGTTTTACAAAATCCACGAAAAATGATGGCAATGAAAATTGATGAAACTACAGTATTTCTTACTGTATTATTACAGATAGTTGTACTTATCACCCTGGACAACCTGTGTTCCACGATGCACTGAAGGGCTGGTCCTGTTGCAAGAAACGCAGTACAGATTTTACAGAATTCCTCAATACACCGGTATAGTCCTAATCGCTTACTTTAGGCCTGACTGGCCTGTTATGTACAAATTATACATTTCGAAAGTTTTATAACGCACTTAATTTTATAAACTTAATCCAGTGTGATATTTGCAGTCAGTTTAGATATATATATAAATTTATTTTTTATCAAAAAAACCAATCAAAGTAAAAAATGTCACAAATACATTATCTAAGAAGAAATTAAAATCCATACTGCATGGTACAAAATATATAATGGTACTAATATCTAAAAAAAAAAAAGATTCAAAAATATTTCTGAATTATGTAGAACTTTTGTTGATTATGAAACCATTTTACTGTTTTCATTGAGGCTGTGTTGATATTTTTTTGCGTGTTTTAGGGTTGTGTTTAATTTTTAGCTCACCTGAGCCGAAGGCTCAAGTGAGCTTTTCTGATCACATTTTGTCCGTTGTCCGTCCGTCTGTCTGTCCGTCTGTCTAGCTGTCTGTCCGTCTGTAAACTTTTCACATTTTCGACTTCTTCTCAAGAACCACAGGGCCAATTTTGACCAAACTTGGTACAAAGCATCCTTGGGTGAAGGGGAATTTAAATTGTTAAAATGAAGGGACATATCCCCTCGCAAGGGGAGATAATCAAAAAAGACAAAAATAGGGTGGGGTCATTAAAAAATCTTCTTCTCAAGAACCACTGGGCCAGAAAAGCTGAAACTTATGTGGAAGCATCCTGGTATAGTGTAGATTCTAAATTGTTCACATCATGACCCCCGGGGGAAGGACGGGGCCAAAATGGGGAATCAAAGTTTTACATCGAAATATATAGGAAAAATCTTTGAAAATCTTCTTCTCAAGAACCACTGGGCCAGAAAAGCTGAAACTTATGTGGAAGCATCCTGGTATAATGTAGATTCTAACTTGTTCACATCATGACCCCCGGGGGAAGGACGGGGCCACAATTGGGAATCAAAGTTTTATATAGAAATATATAGGAAAAATCTTTGAAAATCTTCTTCTCAAGAACCACTGGGCCAGAAAAGCTGAAACTTATGTGGAAGCATCCTGGTATAATGTAGATTCTAAATTGTTCACATCATGACCCCCGGGGGAAGGGCGGGCCACAATGGGGAATCAAAGTTTTACATAGAAATATATAGGAAAAATCTTTGAAAATCTTCTTCTCAGGAACCACTGGGCCAAAAAAGCTGAAACATATGTGCCCATGGAAGGATCATGGGGTAGTGTAAATTTCAAAATGTCTAAATTATGATCAGTGGGGTAGGGTGGGGATGCATTATGTATAACAAGGGGGAAATCTGGTAAAGAACAGAATGGTCAAAGCTTCTCAGGTGAGCGATGTGGCCCATGGGCCTCTTGTTTTATTTAATTTCACAGGGTTGCTCAAAAGGAAAACACAGTAATGTTAAACCTCCAGAACCAGTCAAAGAGGAGAAAAACAACAAAGATGAGGTTGGTATTACCTTATAATGCATATTTTTTTCCCTGAAAAAAATTTAACAAATGTTACACAAATATAACTTTTATTGTGTGAAGAGTTCAAACAAACCAAGTAAATATTTTAGTGAGTTCTTTTCATTATTGCTAAAATTCCATCTTCAAAACTTCACTATTTAAATGTATGTATATGTAAAGTCATTGATTGCAGTCTTCAAAATAACCTGGGTGCCCGGGACCTGGTAAATTTGCCAGTGGGCATGTGAAAATTCTCAAATTACATGCCCGAAGAACATGTGTGAATTTTCTTTTGATTCACGATGTTTACTTTCCATTTCTGTCATACCCCAGTTATTCACGTAAACTTGCTTTGTAATGTCTTAAGATGAATTGCCAGTCTACATTCGTCTTACGTTACATTCTCGGTACGACCTGTCAAATGATTGTCAATCGTAATCATTAAAGTGTTTAATTTAACCTATTTGTTTTCTCGAAGTTTCTTGCTAAATTACGATATGTTTATTGATTCCATGTGCAGTGGACCTGCTGTCATGACCCTATTTCTGAAATTCAGCCAACAAACGACCAGCATGCAAGTCAAAAGTTGTGAACAAAAATGCATACGAAAATGGCAGACGGGCAGGCCATGGTTGATTTAAAACTCTGAAAACAATTTCAGACTTAAGATCGAGAGAATTTAAAACCAGAAACGCTTTCCTTATAGTTATATAAAAAACCTTATTTTCATATTTGTTATATGAATGAATTTTGAGTAGGGCATATATGAATTTCGATGGGCTGGGTTAAAATGATCAGTATACATGCCCGAAGGGCATGTGCTGAAAAAGAATTGTTGTGAAGACTGTGATTGTGTGTGTTGGATTTTGTAAGGTCATTGAAGTTAAGATGCCGGAGCCTAAGAAGCCCAGGGACCCCTCAGCTAGACCCTCCTCAGATGAACCTCTGGTCCCCCTCAGTGTAAATGTCACATCCTCCCTTAAACAGGCCCTGGAAAAACACATGGAAAATGTCAATCAACAAACAACGGAAGGTAATAGGATCAATTTCTACAGATTACTGATGTAAAAGATCAAGGGAAAATTAAATATTTACTTTCCTTAGAAGTGGTTCCTTGCTAAATGGACCAATTAAGATGATATAAATGTCACTTAGAAATAGTAATTTCAAAAAGTAATACCCAGGGTAGTTATTGAGTTCACAGAGATTTTGTTGATAAACCTCAACTTACTACAATGGATCTCGAACCATCATTTTTAAAATAAAGGGAAAACTTTTTTAAAGGATATTGATTCTATAAACTGAAGGGAAAATATTTTTATTAGCTCACCTGAGCCGAAGGCTCAAGTGAGCTTTTCTGATCAAAATTTGTCCGTTGTCTGTCGTCATTGTTGTCGTCGTAAACTTTTCACATTTTCATCTTCTTCTCAAGAACCACTGGGCCAATTTCAACCAAACTTGTCACAAAGTATCCTTAGGGGGGATTCAAATTTGTTCAAATGAAGGACCAAGCCCTTTTCCAAGGGGAGATAATTATGAATTAGTGAAAAAATTAATGGCATTTTTAAAAAATCTTCTTCTCAAGAACCACTGGACCAGGAAAGATGAAACTCATGTGGAATCATCCTCAGGTAGTGTAGATTCAAGTTTGTTCAAATCATGACCCCCGGGGGTAGGGTGGGGCCAAAATGGCTGATCAAAGTTTTACATAGGAAAAAATAGAAATTTTTTTAAAAAATCTTCTGCTCAAGAACCATTAAGACAGGAAAGATAAAACTCATGTGAAATCATCCTCAGGTAGTGAAGATTCAAGTTTGTTCAAATCATGACCCCGGGGGGGGTAGGGTGGGGCCAAAATGGCCGATCAAAGTTTTACATAGGAATATATAGGAAAAATCTTTAAAAATCTTCATCTCAAGAACCATTGAGACAGGAAAGATGAAACTCATGTGAAATCATCCTCAGGTAGTATAGATTCAATTTTTTTTAAAATCATGACCCCCGGGGGTAGGGTGTGCCAAAATGGCCGATCAAAGTTTTACATAGGAATATATAGGAAAAGTCTTTTAAAATCTTCATCTCAAGAACCATTGAGACAGGAAAGATAAAACTTGTGTAAAATCATATCCAGTTAGTATATATTGAATTTTTGTAAATCATGACCCCCGGGGGTAGGGTGGGGCCAAAATGACCGAATAAAGTTTTACATATTAATATATAGGAAAAATCTTTAAAAATCTTCTTCTCAAGAACCACTGGGCCAGGAAAGATAAAACTTATGTGGAATCATCTCAGGTATTGTAGATTCAAGTTTGTTCAAATCATGACCCCGGGGGTAGGATGGGACCATATTGGCCGATCAAAGTTTTTCATAAGAATCTATAGGGAAATCTTTTAAAATCTCCTTCTCAAGTACTTCAAAGCCATGAATAGTGATATTTATATGAAATAATCCTCAGGTAGTGTAGATTCTAGTTTGTTCAAATCATGACCCCTAAGAGGTTAAGATTTAAGCCCCCCTCCAAACACCGTAAACTTTCATTTCTAATCTGATATTTGCTTTTTCTTAGCCGATGTGCTCAGGTGAGCGCTGTGGCCCCTGGGCCTCTTGTTTAAAATGGATATTTATTGTATAGTTTTACCAAGAATTATCATACATGTAATATAAATCTAAAACACAAAAATTTAGATAAAACTGACTCAACAGAAGTGAAAGTTGGCACATCATGTAAAAACAATGGATGCAAGGCAGTAAGTAGGCAAATAAACGATATAAAAGTAGATATCATTTATATATACATATGTACTTACAAAATTACATGGATGTATATTTTTTTGAAACAAAAGCTCCTATTCATGTTAATAAGTAATTTTTGTGGAATTTTCATAATCATTAAAAATAAGATGTTTATAACAGAAAATATATATTGTTTTATTTTTCAGTGTTATGAAGGAGAAAATAGTAATACAGAGAGATGTTTATATCATCCAGGTTTTCCAGTGTTTCATGAGGGGTAGGTAACTCCATAGGTCTTATCTGACAATCTTAAAAATTTAATCACTTGTAGCTTGATGAGAATTAAAATTGAGGTTATTCATATAAATGAAAGATTCAATTTATTGAAATAATTAGGGGCATCAATTCATGCACACAGTATCTGAATTTGAATCATCCTTGTTTTATATTTTATTTCATTGAAATATATTCCTGCAATGATATTATTTAAAAATCAAGATTAAATGTATTGCTGCATTATATCAATTTTATCCTCCAGCATGAAATTTTGGTCTTGCTGCAACAGAAAGACATCAGAATTTGACCAGTTTTTAGCTCAGGAAGGCTGTGAAACGGGAACACATTTATGGATCAAACCAGAGGCAAGACAAAGTTTGCATAATAATTTTTTGATAAATTATCTTCCTTTAATTAAGAAATTGTAAATGCAATGAATATATTAGAAATGGAGTAGATTTATTTTATTAATTTGAAATGAATAAAATAATTGTTTTTAAACAATATATTTCCTTTATATTCATTGGCAACTTACATACTGTAAACTAACTTTTGTTCGCCATATTTTTATTTCAGGATTAACTGGGGGTAAACTAGTTTGCGATGACTAATTTTTATGTTCAAGTCTTTTTGGATCTGTTATTAATAGACTCAGAGACTTTAAGTATGGTTTGGGGGAAGAAATGTTTGCAATAAGTAGGCTCTTGTGATAATTTCTCACACACAAATAAAAGTTGGTTTACAGTATTAAAGAGGCATAATGATTTGGGTCAGAAAAAAATCTTGCATTTGTAGGCACATACAAGTATTCTTATTATCCCTATTGTATTTTTTATCTTCTGTAGGTAGAAGGAGAGAAGAAGTCCTGTCGGTTTGATTGGCATCAGACTCCATCCATCGTCTCTCTGTCTGTCTTTGCCAAAGCTGCTGTTCCTGAGAAATGTTCAATAACTGTCAATAGGGTGCGCTGTGTCATCAAAATCATATTTGAGGGAGGAAAGAGTCTCTTTGAAAAAGATATAATACTGAGAGAAGTATGCATTATTTTATTATGAGGTGGAACTTACATGTGTAGAACTGAATATTTTTAATTTATAGAAATTCAAAAGGGTCTGACAGAAAGTTTTATAGTCTTCTCATTTCTGTGATATTTTCTTTAATTGCCATAAATACATAAGTTTTATATAGTCTTCTCGTTTCTGTGATATTTTCTTTAATTGCCATAAATACATAAGTTTTATAGTCTTCTCATTTCTGTGATATTTTCTTTAATTGCCATAAATACATGTACATGTGTATTGTGAACTAGAAATGCAAATTTCTTATATTTTGGTAGGAGTTATATCTGATGTTTAAGTTTTTAGACCAGCCATGTTTATTTCTTTTTCAATTTTGAATTTCCAATCTGTTAAGTCTGTAAAGTTTAATATTGTTTGAAGAATGATGGTAGAAATTTTGGGTAAGGAATTTTTGTTCTTTTCTAGGAAATAATACCAGAAAAAAGCACAGTGAAAATGATGGGAACAAAAGTAGAAATCAATTTAAAGAAGGCAGAAGCATTCAGTTGGCCAACTCTGGATTTCCCAGATAAAACTCCAGAGAACTAAGAATCTCAAAGTTGAGATCAAATTAAACAGTTAACAGCTAGGAGACAAGCAATAAACAACAGATATTGTGATAAAGGAGCATCTATATCCTAAAAATTAAAACAGTGCTCTATTATAATGCCAGGATTATTTATTTCTAATATGATCAAACTAGGGTTATTTCCTCTCTTTTTTTGCAACTATTGCTCACATGCTGAATCAAAGGGTATATCTTGTATATTTGATAATGCCATGAAGCATTGCATAATCCCTACAGAAGTGTACATGGTCTAGATGTTATGGATTCCAAGGTACAAAAGATAACATGACATTTGAAATTCCTTAAACTCATTACCTTGAGAAGGTTGGCCTTCTTAACTACGTATATTACAGTGTGTCTTCGTTTTTGACACTACAATGTTGGATAAGAAAGTCGCTATGCCCTAAATATATTGTATATTGGGTAATATTGCTGAAGTTGCATTGTCGCATGTCAAAAGAGAAAAGCACCGATGTTTCCATGAAGTTAATACAGTTATTGAAATGATTATTACAGAGAAAAACCTTCAAATTAAAAAAAAGCAAATATTTCAATGTCTTTAATAAGCAATGTGAAATTTGCTGAATTCTCTTTACATCCAAGTAACTCACTATATCGTATGTATATTGTACAAGTATGGTTTGATACATTATGCATGTTTTCCATGTTGTGAATAAAAGAAAGGAGAGCATTTGTCTTCTCTTCTTTAATTTTGATTTTCAATGTGTACTGTAAAATCATATTTTTGTGGGGTCAAATTTTCAAGGTTTGAGGAAAATACTTTTTATTTAAGGGGACGTGATTTCGTGGTTTGAGAGTGTATAATAGTAATGCAATAAAAAATAAATTACATGGTGGTCATAAATTTTTGTTTCTGTTCATGCCTCGAAAACAACGAATATTAACCCCAACGAAAATTAGTGATTTCACAGTATTTTCAATGAAAACATTTCCTATCTTATTCAATATGCTATGATTGATTGATTGATTGATTGTTGTTTAACGTCCCGCTCGAGAATTTTTCACTCATATGGAGACGTCACCGTATGCCGGTGAAGGGCTTCAGATTTAGACCTACATGTATACTTGCATGGGGCGATTGAGCACTGAGGGTTCTTTATCGTGCCAACGCCTACCGTGACACGGGACCTACGTTTTTAAGGTCATATCCGAAAGACCCGTGACTTTCACCTCTGATGCCGAGCGCTTGGCGAAGGAACAGTCACTACCTATTTTTACTTCTTAGGTTTGACGCGGCGCTGCGAAGGAGAATCGAACCCAGGCCTCCTGATCACGAAGTGAACGCTCTACCACTAGGCTACCGTGAACAATATGCCATGAAGAGGACATATTTAACCAAAAACGTTTTGTACCTCTTTAGAAATGCCACAGAGCAAAAACATTTTATACCAATTTTGATATGTAAGGTTTTCATCCACCTTAAAAGTGTTCAATTACTAAGTAGAAAATAAAGAATGATTGATTGTTATTGTTTAATGCCGAGTCGGCAATATGATCTCGGCCATATATCGGCGGTCTCATGAAAACTAGAAAAATACATTAGCAGCAAACTAAAAACAAGATGTGTTTGTGAAACACTGATGTCCCCGTATGGCAACATAGCGAAGGTTATAAAGCTTTCTAAAATGCAGATCAAATATGTTGGTACCTAAAGTAAGGCCTTTTCACAAGAAATACAACCTACAGATGTGAAATACAAAATCTTAGCACCACCTGTTCAAAGGATATGACCGAGGTTAACGTTTTAAAGGTAGAATAAACTCCGGGGTCAAGGTAAAAGGATCAAGGTTGTTGGTTTCTAAAGAAAGGCCTTGTGTTAGAAAGATAACATATGGGAAGTATGAAAGTGCTGGCTCTTACCGTTCAAAAGTTATGGTCAAGGTTTAAGTTTGTAAAAAGTAGGACAAACTAAAAAAAAGAATAATAAGAAATAATCTTAGTCATCAGAATCAGTAGAATGTCATACGTTGGAAACGGAAGACCTTAACTAGAAATATGTTCATAGGAAATGAAAGCCCCGCCGAGGATATATTAGTAACACAGCATGAAAATTTGTATTAGTGTATGAAATTTGATAAAAATATCTTGAAAAGTGATGCATATGAATTGCTTACCTCAATATGTATCAGCATATGAAGTTTGACACTAATTTCTTTAAAGTGAGGTCAAGGTCAAAGGAAATGCCAAGGTCAAAAAATAAATATTATAAATGGTTTCTTTAAAACTGACTTAAACACAATTTGATAAAAATGAGGTCAAGGTCAAATGAAAGGTCAAGGTCAAAAATTGATACAGTTGAATTGCTTATATCAATATGTATCAGCATATGAAGTTTGACACTAATTTTGGAAAAGTTGGGTCAATGTCAAAGCAAAGGTCAATGTCAAATGTCAATGTCAAAAATGTTGATGGAGTTGCATATCTATCAACATATAAAGTTTTACATGGAAATACATTGGAAAAATTTTCTACTCTCGAACCATTGGACCAAGATTTCTTCAGTGAAAACATCAACGATAAATTAATTTCCTGGTTTTTTAAATATCATTTCCAGCTGCTTTTTTCAGTAAAAATGGGACTGGCTAAAATACCAGTTTTTTTAGGACAAATCGCTAAATTTGCGTCTCGCTAAAATTCCCATTATACGGTATATTATTATTTTTTGCTGCTTTTAATTAATACAGTATGGATCCTGATTGTTAAATAACACTAAATACAATTGTATCGCTAAATAAAAATGCAAAAAGGTGTAGTGCATGTGTTCGCAACAGGGAACAACTGGCATGCGCAAAATGGAAATTCCAACATATCGATCATTGGCAGGCATAATATTAAAGATTACAATTTAAAGACAACTAGTGCTAATTGTAACGGGAACCGTTACAGATGTTCCCCAAACGCTCCCCAACTCCCTTCTCGTGCCATATTCCCTGTAATTTTCATTAAAGAAGGCAAAATCTATGCATTTAAGACGTAAACAACGTTTTCCCAAAAGTATACCAAGTATTTCAAATTTAAGCAATGCAAGCGTGCGCATGTGATTGCATGTGCGTAATGACGATATCATCTTGTCTACACTATTTTACTCATATGCACGTGCATGCACGTGCATAATGACCATACCTTCTTGTAGGAGTCCATTATGTCTGTCTATGTTCTTAATCCCATCCTGTTTGGTTGAAAAACAAGGGAGTTATAGCCATTTAAAGTTTAAGCCAATCAGATTGCAGCGCACGTGCATGCGCGTGTTTTTATGACAATTATTATATATCTTATTGTAGGACATCTAAAAGTATGCCTATGTTTTAAATTTCAAAGCATTTTGTGAAAAAACAGAAAAAATATAGAGATTTTTGTTTCAGCCAATCAGAGCAAAGCGCACGTGCACGTACGTGCATGTATGTGAATGTTGATCATATCATCTTGTAGGAGTCCTTTATGTCTATCTATGTTCTAAATCCCATGCTGTTTGGTTGAAAATCAAGGGAGTTATAGTCATTTAAAGTTTCAGCCAATCAGATTGCAGCACACGTGCATGCGCGTGATTTCATGAAATATTTTATATATCATATTGTAGTACATCCTAATACATGTTTATGTTATAAATTTCAAAGCATTTTATCATAAAACAAAAAAGATATTAAGATTTCTGTTTCAGCCAATCAGAGCAAAGCGCACGTGCATGCGCGTGAGTTCATGCAGATTTGACCATGTCATCTTATCTACACAATTTATATATCTTTATATAATGAGTTTCAAAACATTTTATCAAAAAATATAAAAGTTACAACCATATTAAATATATCAGTCAGTTTACTCATTGCACGCGCCCGCACGTGCATGCGAATGCGCGCAAAATGACCTTCGTTCGGCACATCTACACAACATGCCTACTAACCCTAAAAAGGTTTTAACTTAGTTTGGTGAACAGTTTCTGAGAACACTTCCGGACAAAAAAAGTACCGGAGAAGAAATAAGAAGAAAAAAGAATAATAATAATAATAACTAGAATCTTGTTGCCATGGCAACAAATAAGTCTTCCGTTTTTCTAAATCTGTAAGAATTTGCTATTTTCTCTGCAAAAAACAAAGATATCATATGTACTCTGAAAGAAAAAAAACTGCAAAAAGGTCTTTCAGTACTTAAGGTACTTTGATTTTCATGACCAATCTTGTTCTTATGCATTTTGGCACTCATAAGAGCTACACGTGTACCATAGACAAACCAACGGACGAACGAACACCGTACTCTCATAAAGTTCACTGTGTTCATGTTCTGGCACAATTGTGATGGTGTTATAAAAATATCATGAACTAAGTAAGTACCACATTAAACGTAAAGTCGTTGATTTTTACAGTAATACTATCGAGATTTGTCAGCAGAAAGATTATTCGAATTCAACTACAGGAATTATTCAGAGATTAATTGATTATATGTTGTTTAATGTCCCTCTCGAGAATTTTTCACATGGAGAAGCCTCCACTCGCCGGTGGAGACTGCAAAATGTTGTCCTATAATTTGGCTCTAATCGCCATTGAGCAGTGAGGAATCTTTTTGAGTCAGTACCATCTTACACACGGGACCTCGATTTAAACGATCTCATCTGACGGACCGGTCTCCACGTCCCACAACTGAAGTCCATAATACAGATACTGTATAGGGGGAAAATAACTCGCGGTGTTAATATTCGCTATATTCACGGTGTTAATAAATCCGTGAATTCAAGAAACAGTGAATAAATTTTCAATAATCTCCATGTTTTATTTGGAAATTTGTGAATAGACTACGATAGATTTGTATAGGTGTACGTGCAGTCCGTGGTCATTTCAGTAATTGCGAGTTGTAATGTCACTCAATTAATTTTAATTATCACGCTTTACTCTAATTCAAATCGGCAGATAATAACTTGTGTTTGTTCAAAAGCTGTTTTAATAGCCAACGTGTTTCATCAATCAAAACACGTGGGCCATGGGTTTTGATTACCCGTGCGTAACTAATGTTACCATGTGGATTTGTTACCTGCATTCTCATGGATATTAGTTCATGTACAGTTTTTATCGACATTTTGGTTTTAAAAAATCATTCAAATAAATATCGAACTTACTGACGATGTGGAAGGATATTATTTCGTAGAACTACATAAAAACTTTTATTTCCGTCCAGAGGTTTTTCGCCGCGTTGTATTATGATCTTGGGTGCACATGCACTCGTCGTAATAGCATATAGGAAAGTCATTTGACGTTTAGAGACTATTAATAATTGCACTTGTGTTAAATACTTATTTAAAAAATATAACAATTTTATAATAACTTACCCTGTTGTTCGTGAAATAAAAACATAACGCTGATTAATTTCGTTTACATGTAGCTATGGTATGGATTAAATGGAGACAAGGGAAGTAACTTTTATTACATACCAAATTCCGCGAATTCAAGAAACCGCGATCGTGTCAGATGAGAGAAAAACGTGAAAATTACAACCCGTGAAATTAATCCCCTATACAGTATATGATGCTCTAGCCATGTTAAAACTTTTTATTTTATTTTTCATTTCTCAAATTTGTTGCATCAGATTTTCTTAAAGATCATACTTAATAAAAATCATTTCGAACAACTTTATTGCAATGCATACAGCGTCTGGTGATTTTGATTGACAGGTCAATACATGTGC